TGCAATGTGTAATGTTTACCTTGTCATTGATGGAGCATTTCATCAGTACTGAGGTATCTCCCGCAAGTCAAGCTTATACAGCACAGGTGTAAAATATAGTAGATCTGTCACAATGAGCATTTTATCAGCATTGAGTTACCTCCCCTCTCCAGTCAGACATGTTTTAACACAGATCACATAATTATGTGAATCTGGTTATTTTTTATATAGATCTTTTTATCAGGACAGTGCTCCCTCCACTATTCAAGGCAGCCAAATTAAATACACAAGTGATTTGAAATATTACAGTTAATCAGTGAGAAGTAATTTTAACAGCATTGAGTTAACTCCCTTCAAAGTCTGACAAATTTGAAACTGATCATATTTCAATTTTATTAGCGATAAAGAGCATTTTATCATCATTTAGTAGCTTCCTTTCTCAAGTCAACCAAATTTAATGCAGGATTCCACCTCACTATTCCGTGAAATGAGATCACGTGAGATGTGCGCATGCGCATAGCCATCAGTTTTGCTTGTGCTGCCATTAGTCTACGCACGGAACTTTAGTCGACTTGAGAAGAAATCACTTAACTAATTTGAGAACGTGAATCCCTTCAGTTGCTACGTACCACAACGCTATTTGGTATCCAGAGACACTTTTGCAGCTGACTAGATTAGGAGTCGCACAAAGGTAATTGACCAAGATGACCGCTGGTCGTGGTCGGCTCTATTGCCAAAGTTCAAAATGGCGATTCCAGCGACAGGCACTGATGACTGTCCACCTGAAAAGATAGAACTTGTTAAGTCAGTGATGTCGGTTGGAAAACCGAATCATAAGAACATTTTTGCAGTTGTGCAAAGCGAGGAAAGTTCTAAATCAGACACCCAGTGCGGTCGTCAGGTAAGAGACAGAACTTCACCTTTGACCAAAGAAGCCACTGAAACGGACAGTGTCAGGCCGTCTACATCGGCTGGGAAAAGTGAAGCGATGTCGGACAAACACATGGAGAAATTACTAGCTTTACTGGAGACACAGCAGGTGCAATCTGACACCATGCAGTGCTGCTATGGTTGCTTTTAATGAAATGTTCGGAGAATCGTCCGAAAGTCACGGAAAGAGCCGAACATTTGTCAACAAACACCAAGCCGCCATGTTACCGGAAACGAGGACGGTGAAATGTCGTCAGACTCGGATCACGATTCTGACATTGAAACGGACTTGTTAGAAAGTGACATGTCACGTTATACAAACCCCGAATCCGAGAACAAAGCTAAGGAGGATGAATGTGTGAGTGTCAGTGAACTAGTGGCAGATTTCAGAGATTTCTTCGGTGAAAATGAATCCACCTCGGAAATTATTCACGAGGACCTGGCCACCTCTATCGAGAACGGACTTGTAAAAGCCCCAGTTCACGAGAAGATGAAACAAATATTGGACAAATACAAGCGGCCAAGCAACTTCCCTACTTTACTGGTACCGAAAGCAAACGAGGAAATATGGACTGAGGCAAAGGCACGAACAAGGACACAAGATGTGAGAGCTCAGTACACACAGGGTTTTGTGGTTAAAGCAACTGTCCCGATCGTGCAGAGTAACCATATCAATTAAAAGCAGCATGGTTTTCTCTTCAATCCTTAGCAGATATGTGTAAAGTGCATATTAGATTACTGATTGATAACACTACTGCAGTGGCCTATGTTAACCACATGGGTGGTATGAAATGGACGTGTAACAATATTGCAAGAGACATGTGGTTGTGGTGCATGAGTAAATAAGTCTGGTTATCAGCAGCTCATGTGCCTGGTCTGATAATGTTGAAGCTGACTGGTATTCACGCAACTTTTCAGATGATAAAGAGTGGAAATTAGACCCGAACATGTTTGACAAGCTACAATATTGTTCTGGTACTCCATCTAGGGATTTATTTGCTTCACGTCTCAATAAGCAGCTTGACCGCTATGTGTCCTGGTACCTAGACCCCCACGCAGAAGCCGTAGATGCTTTCACACTGTTTTGGGGGGACTCTTATGACTATGCTTTTTGTCCCTTCAGTCTGATCGGCAGAGTATTACACAAGATTCAGGCGGAACAAGCAGACATGCTGATGGTAGTTCCTCTATGGAGGACGCAATTTTGGTTTGCCAGACTACTTGAGCCTTCAGCAGACTGTCCAAGATTGTTGCCGAGATCAAAAACACTCCTAACACTACACAACAACCCACAAGCAGTTCACCTTGTACATCCAAAACTGAGAACAAGCAGCAGTTCACCCTCTACATCCAAAACTGAGGTTAGCAGCGTTCAAGCTCTCAGGAAAGGCCTCGAAAGTGAAGGAGTATCGAAACCAGTTGCGGACATCCTGTTGTCATCATGGAGAGACAGTACCCATAAACAGTATGGGAGGTATTTCTCGAAGTGGTTGTGTTTATGTGCTCAGAGAGATCTTAATTCCATGTCACCATCTTTAAATAACTGTTGTAGCAGACTTGTACAATCAAGGCCTCAGTTATTCAGCTATCAACAGTGCGCGGTCAGCCTTGTCCTCTGCAGTGACCATAGTGGGTCAACATCCCAGGGTTGTGAGATTTATGAGAGGTGTATTCAATGTCAGACCAGCCTTGCCAAGATACAGTGTTACCTGGGGTGTGACTACAGTGCTCAATTACCTGCAGCACATTGGGACATCACTGGATCTTAAGGGTACAACTTTGAAGTTGGTATCTTTATTACTGTTGCTCACTGCACAAAGGCTGCAGTCCTTGCACCTTATAGACCTTAGAAATGTAGATGATAGTGTAGTGAAAATTAGATTTGGTGATTTATTGAAGCAATCCAGGCCCCAATATCATCAAAGGGAGTTAACTCTCTCTAGTTTTAGTGACCCTGCTCTGTGTGTTGTGAAAACCATGAAAACCTACTTTGAACTCAACTCACCAAGACGGTTCGACACAATGAAACAGCTCTGTTTATAGCTCTGTTTATAGATCTGTTTATAGATCTGTTTATAGCTCTACAAAAGCCTCATAACCGAGTCAGCAAGAGTACTCTGGCTAGGTGGTTCAAACTTGTTTTGACAGAGGCGGGTATTAACATGAACAGCTTCAAGCCTCACAATGTACGTTCAGCTGCAACAAGTGCAGGTTTTCACAGCAAGGTGTCACTGAACACAATACTGAGAACAGCAGGAGGGTAAAGAGACTGTGTGTTTTGGAGGTTTTACCAGAAACCGATGTCAGATGAGACTCTTTCCAGTGAATCTATCTTAAACTCTTTTGAAGATTCTACTTGTTAGATGCTTATTAACTCTAGAAGTTGTCACTTGATAGCATACATGATAATGTGTTTGTATTGTTGGCATCTGGGTATTGGTAATCACTACTGTCATTAAATGTATAATTCAACATTGTAATTTGTGGTTATTATGGATTTCATTGGAAAATGTGTTAAGTGCTCTAAAAATCTCACGTGATCCCGTTTCGCGGAATAGTGAGGTGGAATTATAAAGTTAAACACGACTTACCTGTAAGTTGAAGTTTGACTTAAATTCCACCGAGCTATTCTGTAGGGATTACGTGCCCACCACACCCACCCATGGTTTCTTAAACTTTACACATTTTCAATTTAAAGACTGATGGCGATGCGCATGCGCACATCTCACGTGATCCCTGCGTCATAGCTCGGTGGAATTTAAGTCAAACTTCAACTTACAGGTAACTCTTGTTTAACTTTATAATTAGATGTCAAATATTTTATGAATCTGTGATAATGAACCTTTTTATCAGTATGAGTTTCCTCGAGTCAGCCAAAAGGGCTTCTGTATACAAGAGGGCACCTGTATGTCCAGTAGAGCATGGACCAATAATTAGACCATACAGTCTGGTTGTATTCACCAGGAGTCCTATGTTTGTCAGGAGATTTGTTGTGAAACAACTTGTTTCCATTTTGTGTGTATGTTGAGGCTATTGTCTGAACTAGGGGAAGATTTCAACCACCACTGTACCTGAATGGACACTACAAAATCTCATCCAAGCAAGTTTACAGACAAGATAATGTTGAAGACACTCCCAGCTGTAAGCTGTATAGACATCACAAAGTTCTCATTTTGTGTGAATATTTCGATATGTGAATGTGTTTTGTAAGATACCATGAGATCTGTGATAATTACCCCTGAATATGTGCCTATAGCTTTAGCCCTCCAAGTGTCTTGGTGATGTTTTCTATCAGTATTTGTACCTGATGTTGTGCCATTCCAGTGCCTCTGTATTGTACAACCCCATCCTCGGTACCAGCCTCGGCTTTATACAACATCCGTCCATCTCTACAACCATGCATGTATATATCTACAAGGTTTACAATAAAATGTCATTTTCATATATTAGGTTGTGTTTTAATTAATGTTGGTGAGTTGGTTTTCAGGTTTCAGTTTGTGTAGACTCAGGGGGTTCCAGCTTCAGGTCAATCATCCCAAAGTGAGTGAGTGAGTTTGGTTTTACACCGCTTTTAGCAATATTCCAGCAATATCATGGCAGGGAGACACCAGAAAAGGGTTTCACACATCGTACACCATGTGGGGAATCAAACCTGGGTCTTCGGTGTGATGAGTGAACACTTTAACCACTAGGCTACACCACCACACTAAAAGACATTTCATGATGGCACTTGTTGTTGCCCTGACTGATGTTCAGCATTAAGGGGATAAAATATGAATTGACAGAATAATGTGTCAGTGTCTAATGGGGTAGCCATGTTAAACTGTGGTGAGGTATCTCAGTGGACCAGCACTACAGAATAGACATGAGTTCAGACTTGTACAAACAGGCAAAAAAAGTGTGGAGTGGGCAGACAAGGGAGATAACTCCCAACTGAGTTGTGACTTGAACCCCACTTGCTGCCAGTTGTCTAACCCAAAGTTTCTGGGTCAAGGTCGGTTACCTGTTGAAAATTCAATCCTCATCCTCATGAACTGGTTAAGTTGATCTTTGTTTTATCCCAGAACCTCTACATCAGTTAGCCAAGACAATCATTTGGAAACATTTATTCACAATATGATTTATCATTATATCTACAACAGTACTATTAACAACAGAATGATGATGATGATGATGATGACGATGATGATGACGATGATGATTCAATAACAGAACAAGGTTTTACATCAAATGTAAAATGCAATCTTATCTTTGTCCTTACAGTAAATGCTGATTGTTAAAACAAACAAAAATTATTCAAAAGTTAAGGTTTAATTAAACTATGCATAAATAAAACAGTTGAATTGATTCTATTTCTGTGGTTGAGATTAGTTTCATGATGAGCAAGCAACATGTCAGGACAATTGGGTCATAGTTTAGAGTTAAACAGGTCCAAATGTTTCTTAGAGGGACATTTTTGGCAAGGTGGTGTCTCATACTGTAATATGACAACCCGTCACGAACCGCCATCTGCCTAACAGAAGAATTAGAAAACCAAACAGAAAGTTATTAGCAGACTAAGAAATGATTTTATACAGGTGGTAGTTTGTTGTACAAGCAAATCCTCCTTCCACAGTTAAAGAAATCCTGCTCTCAGGGAGCAAGTCCGCTCAGATTCCCCAAACATTTACAACAGACAGACAAAGACCACATACAAGACCAGGACACGCGACAGGTTCCTATGACTTCCTGGTCTTCCGGCCTTTGCGTTTCTTGGGCTTGAGCTTGGTTCCGAGGATCTCCTGACCAAGGCGCTTCACGTCCTCCCGCGTCAACAGACCTTCGTTGTCCTGGTCATGGTCGAACGTGAAGTCGTCGGAGTCGCTGTTGTCCTCCTCATCCAGTCGGATGCGGGTGTTCTCGGCAGGCAGGCGATTCTCCAGGAACTCGTGCAGCTGGAACATGCACGTGGACGACGTCAGTGTGAAAATATTTATATACACAAGTGTACAACTATCCAAGTTTGAGCGCAGTCTCATTAGGAAATACATGTATATCTCATTTCTCGCGTCAGCTGTTGCGAACAATAACAAAGAATTTGATTAAAGTGAATTTCCGTGTATACAGGGTCATGTCGGTGTAGGCCTCTCATTATCGTCACCATCGCCACAACCTGGGTTTTGCACGTTTGAAAACAAAACCATATTGGTTCTGGTTAATACACCAAATAAATGGATTCATATCCTGACATAGGTGCGTTGTGGTTCTTGATCAGTGTCCGCAGGCATAAGGTTCCATAGTGGTTAAAACGTCTAGGATAAGACAACAGACAGTCGGCTAGCGATGTTAGTGCTACTATTGTGTTAAGTCTATATCAACTTATGAGAGTTACGATCATCGAAGTGCTATGATACTTTGAAGACCCCATGCAACACATTTGACCATCCTATCAACTCTTTAACTGGCACTCACGCTATGCATTGGACAATACTTCCCAAATTGGTTCTCTTTTCATATAAACTTTGAATATGCACCGTCAACGAATGAATGTGGGTTTAGGCACATGGTACCGTGCATCAGTCCAGCACGGAAGTCGACATTATACACCAACAAAATGCCACCTGAGACTGGAACAATAGCCTTTCACGGTTACCAATTTGAAGGTGACTACACAACCTGACAAGCTTTGGGAAGACGCAAGCTTACCTTTTCCCCGTCGACGTTCTTGGGTCCGACAACTGCTTTCTCGTCCCCCTTTCCGGTAACTGTGGCCATCAGCTTGACCAGACGCCGCTCACAGTTGGCCAGGTCGTCCACCGGATCCCCCTTGGTGAAGTTGTGGTGAGGCTGCAAGGGGACGGGAAGATACTAAGCTGTTTCCAGCGAATTATGGATCATATACTCAGAATTAATATAAATGGCGAATGCTATAGCTAAAGGCATGGTGACCTGTTATGGAAGACGTTAACATCGTGACACTGACGTGACATCAGACATACCAGGGCATGCCTGGCGTTAGTACCCACATCATAGGATACAACTCTGTACAAAACTGACAACAGTTCATGAAGTAGAATGATCGAGCCACTCCGTTTCTGTGCTAATTAATTCTACTTTCGAAATCAACATATTCTCATGGTTACTCCATTACATACAATCTGGGTCCTACATAGAACAGCGGAATATTCAGCTATGTTACAGGGCCCGAAAATAGTCGAAGCTAGAAGCATACTCATAAGACGGTTACGGTGGAAATTACAGCAATATTTAAACAATGCAGTTTAGATTAGAAATCCATTGCTTCCACCACAACACTGGATCGTAGGTAGATAACACTGAGTCGTACAGGTTTGAGCTTGATCTCCTTCAGTTTGTCGAAGAGGGTGGCGATTCCCTTCTGGAGGTCCAGCAACAGTTTGTCCTTCTTGTCCAACGTGTCCAGCGACTTTACCCGCCTGTTCTCCTCCTTAGATGCGTAGTCTTCCATGTCGTCTACGAGCTGGCGGCCCCTGCAACACCGGCATCACCGTCATTGCAACACAACCGTCGCCGCCATAGCATCACGTCATGGCAACACCGCTGCAGCGACGCCGTCATTGCAACGCCTTCTTATGAACACCGCCCCTGAACACAACTCCCCTATTAAAACGTATAGCAATACCACAATCGGCAATAAGAATGAAATACGACGTGTGAACTGATTTTCTGTTATAAGTGCGCTTCTATGTAGCGGAATACATTTTATAGTATAGTAGGGCAGCACATGCTTACAATAGCTTTATAGAATACCAGACGTCATCTCGAATTTTCAGTGATCCATTCAGAAACATTTCACAGCTATATTTCCTTTGACACCCAAAAGAAATCGTGTCTCAGGATAGCCAAGACTGGGTATTCTTTTCCACATGTCTTACACTGACAACCTACTTGGCGGCTTGTCTCTGGCTGGTGAACTTGAGTTCCTCGAACACCGTCTTGAGTTTGTCCAGCTCCTCCTGTAGCTTGGCGCGCTGACAGTGCTTCTCCTTCTTCTGGTGTACCAGCCTGCCCCTGGTGTTGTCCTGGTTGGCCACGCGGAACACCACGTCCTGGTCACAGACGGAGCATGTTACAGCACACAGGCAGAAACAATGGCAGATTGTAGACAAGAAAGACGGTGTAACAGACAGACAGAGACAATGACCGATTGTAGCCAGACAGACTGTGTAACAGACAGACAGAGACAATGTCGGATTGTAGTCAGACAGACTGTGTAACAGACAGGCAGAGACAATGCCAGATTGTAGACAAGAAACACGGTGTAACAGACAGACAGAGACAATAATCGATTGTAGTCAGACAGACTGTGTAACAGACAGACAGAGACAATGACAGATTGTAGCCAGACAGACTGTGTAACAGACAGACAGAGACAATGTCGGATTGTAGTCAGACAGACTGTGTAACAGACAGGCAGAGACAATGTCGTATTGTAGTCAGACAGACTGTGCAACAGACAGGCAGAGACAATGACAGCTTGTAGCCAGACAGACTGTGTAACAGACAGATAGAGACAATGACAGATTGTAGCCAGACAGACTGTGTAACAGACAGATAGAGACAATGACAGATTGTAGCCAGACAGACTGTGTAACAGACAGGCAGAGACAATGTCGGACTGTAGTCAGACAGACAATCGGTGTAACAGACAGGCAGAGACAATGTCGGATTGTAGTAAGGCAGACAATCGGTGTAACAGACGGAGACAATGATGGATGACAGACAGACAGACTCATACGGGCACAGACGGTTTTGTTCCTCACCTTGATGTCAGACACGTTGATGGCTTTCTTGATCTTCTCGAATGCCTCCTCTAGCGTGAGGATCTTCTCATGGCGGCCCGCCTTTAACGCCTGCAGCCTCGAGGACTTCATGTCTGGCAACGACAGCATTCAATAAATGTAGTATGTGTTTCCTCTTACCCATCCAACCATATAATACATGGCCTGACCGGTTCAGTAGGTTTGGTTTCCTTTTCCTGTGACTTACTGCCCTGGGTTCTAATGTATATACATTGTATATAAAAATAATAAATTGTACGAAACAACTCAAATTTATTTGAAAAAGCACACACCATGTTATATATATATTTCAGTGTGATAGGCATAGTTACCTTCATTGTTTGAGGCGCAAACTGGTGGCCACGTGTGTGTTAGTCACGAGAAACAAAGACACCATTTAACTTTAGATTGTTTGCTCACCAGTGGTCTCGCTGATGACGGACATTCTGGGCTGGAAGGACATAAAAATACAAAAACTGAATATGTAAAGAGACCAGCACACTTACACTCTTATGTACTTTCACAGGTTTTTTGCTGCTGTTTGTTTAAAGCTGCAATAAGCAATATTCCAGGTATATCGAGACAGCCTTTACAGTATGTCATATGGTTATAACAATTAATAATAATTATATAATTATGACAATAACAACTTTTACATATGATAGAGTTCGGACCAGACAAACCAGTGATTGACAGTACAAGCATCTGAAAGTTGACATGGCAGAACAGCCACACGCTGCGAAGCCATCCGATCCAATTTCGTCCCTATGACGTTACACGACATCCCAACACTAATTGCTTCAACACTAAATGCACCACTCCTTTTCCGAAGCACCGTTGAAGTACGACTCTATGGTATTGCAGTTCGACATATACGGTAACCAGAGACGTATCGGAATTGGTTATATCATAGTTCGGTTCCTGCCCGGAAGCTGGTTTTACTTACCCTCTTCTCTGTCCTGTCCACCGGCTCCTTCCTCCTCTCCACTTCCTTCTTCGTCTCGTTAAGCTGCTGGTCACGTGACCTCTTCGCTTGGTACATCTCGCGCTCCATGCTCAACAGGTTTGTCTGGGAGTGAGATAAACATCATCATCATAACAAATGGAGCCACAATACTCTGTAACTTACCTGAATCATGAAGAGTGAATGAGTGAGTTTAGTTTTACGCTGCATTCAGCAATATTCCAGCTATATGGCGGCGGTCTGTAAATAATCGAGACTGGACCAGACAATCCAATGATCAACAGCATGAGCATCGATCTGCGCAATTGGGATACGATGACGTTTGTCAAGCAAGTCAGTGAGCCTGACCACCCGATCCCGTTAGTCGCCTCTTATGACAAGCATAAGCCCACCGCCATATAGCTGTAATATTGCTGAGTACGGCGTAAAACTAAACTCACTCACTCACTCCAGTGACACACTGAACCGTGAAGTTCCGTGTTGCAATTGCTCTTCCCCACGTTTAAACAAACTGAAATGACATGCAATTATGTCTAAATGAAAGCGGTGTAGCCCACCTACTCACTAACGAAACTTTACCAACACGGTCACCTACGTATTGTAACCCAGATCTTTACGTGGGTTCAACTATGAATGTAGGAAAGTGGGTTCGAACCCGAGCTTCTTCGCTGCTATTGATGGCCTTGTCATTCATCTGTTTCAGTTCCGACAGCTCTGCACGTGCTTCCGTCACCTGCTGTTCCATGACGTCAAGTCGCGTGGGATACAGACGACACTCCTGGCAAACAATGGTACAGTCGGTTGTTAGCACAATGCGTTTTTCATCTTCTTCCTAAACACATTTGGTGCTGATCTTATTTGCATACAGACAAAACAGTACCCCTTGGATAAACATTTTGAGAATTTTACATGTACACACGCACACACGCGCGCGCGCGACAGGAAATTGTTTTCATTTTCGCTGAAACCGGAAGATCGGATTATGATACAGTAATGAAGTGTTCACCATCTAACACTGCTCTCCTTTTCAGCCATCTAGATCCATAAAATGCGATCAATTTGAGCTTGCAGCGGCTTCTTCAAACCTAATCAATACTACCTGTACGGTTTTGTCCTTCCAAGATTACTTGGCGTGGTGACGTCACCAACATCAGTGTTATCTTGAGCTTAAGTAGCGGCTGCGGTTTTTTTTAAAAACAATGATTTTATTTATAACCATCCACGTCAATGCAGGAGAAGCCCCAATTATTCCTCGGAACAGATTCCATAAGACGTAAAAGGCAAAATGGTGGTTAAAATGCTATGAGTGGATCTCTGAAAAGCACCTATGGTCCCGATCCACAAAGCGTTCGTAACGTTACGACCTGTCGTAACTCTATAGTTTATCATGTCGCAGCGCTACGAACGTTTTGTGGATCAGGGCAGGTGTTCGTGTAGAAGGCAAGAATGGACAGTCAAGGTTATTCTCTGGAAGATTCCATCATCTTAATAAGGTGAAGGAAGGTATCCCTGTTGAACGTCCTCGTGAAACCAATACTGGGAGGTAAGAAACAACTACACCCACCTCCTGCATGTGCGCCAGGATCGCCTCGTATCTGCCCGTGATGTTACTGGCGGCGTCAAACTTGATCCGAGCTTTGTCCAGCTCGTTCTGAAGACGCCGGTAGTTCTGCAAGCAGAGTGAGTGAGTGAGTGAGTGATGGTGGGAATGAGTGAGTGAGTGATGAGGGAAATGAGTGAGTGAGTAAATGACAGTGGCCGTTATGCCGTAGCTTGTGTTAACCTGGAAACATTGACAACCAAGATTAACTGGTTTATACACAGTCTGATAATTACCTTATTACGATTTGGGCATTCCGCTTAATAATAGTTTCTGTTTCATGAGAAGAAATTGAGGAAGTTGATTGAAATATCACCCAGACACCGAATCATTCTGACGTGTTGAACAAAGGATGATGTCACAGTGAGTTAAATACGTCGTCGTTTCAACAAGAAAGCCATTTTTTTTTCAAGTTTCTAGTGATGTGATTGGTGTATTTAGTGCTCAGTCATTTACATGATTTTAACTTGCATGGTATAAAGCGTTTATACCCCAGTAAACAATGTGAAACCCGTTTCTTAAATAGTTTCCACCGCTAATCAAGAAAGAAAATGATGAAAAAAAGTAAAAGGAAAGTACACTTGACACCCGTAATTAACACCGTCCCTTGGTGAAGTGCTGAAAGCCATTCTTTGAGAGATCACTGACCCGCTCCTTCTCGGAGTTGTAGTCATATGAAACCAGATCCAACATGCGGGATAATTCCAATTCCAGTTCTTCTAACTGGTTTTCCTTTTGCGTTACTTCATGCTGCAGGCTGTTCAACCTCTTGCTGGCCTCGCAGACTTTCTGGTCCATCACGCGTATGGCATCCTGTAACCATGGTAACGGGGATGCGATAACAAGCGGCATTGTAGATGGTCTAATGTAAGAATATCTGTCACTGAATATGAAGAAATGACGAGTATTGTGAGGTTCTATACACCATAAGCACTCATCAACTATTCCAAATTTCTGTAAATGTTCTGTAAACCTGCAATCACATCGGATGTTCCTACCCCATGACGGACACATCACATGACACAACTGAAATACACAGCTTGGGGTCCCTTGTCCAGCTTAGAAACGTCACATGTCGTCAAACAGGATTGCATTTGACGAATCAGAAAATCAACCTCGATTAACCATTCTGTTATGGTAAATATTCATCAAAATAGAATGAAGATACATGCATCAATACATTTTGGACATCTGTGGTCGATATTGTTGTCTCGGGTCACGTGATTGCAGAGGTTTTACCTTTGAATAAGCGATATCTATACACAAACATATATATATCATATTCATAAACCAGGGAAATAGGTCACATTACACGCGTATCCATGAATACAGTGGGTTTAACTTTACACAAATCAACAAAAGGTTTGACTTTTCGAGAATATATAGCTGTTATTCCGCAGAACGATAACATCATTCGTTGTGGACAAATGTTACAATGCCGGGTGAGCCTCCAGCCCTCTGTACTGCTTTTAACTAGCAAAAGGAGAACGCTATCTAACCAGAGACCACATGGGCGGAACAGGAATTTTCATAAGGATGTTATATGGTCTCTGATCTAACCTATTAATTATCTTCTGAAAAGCTAAGATAAACACGAAGATAAGATAAGATAGTTATCACAATGGGACAATCTGTCTGTAACCCCGAGGAACGTTTATCAAAAGTCCGACAACTATTGGTTGCCTGGACCCAGTCATCACAGTAAATGGGAATCGCGAATTGGCATACAATCCGAACCGACGTCCAGGCCTGGTTGGTGAATACCTCATACAAGAACGTTTGCGGTGACCTACATAGGCCAACAACTCCATCCCCCAACACACCGCGGCCTCACAGTCTCTGTGGCGTGCGTCTCACCAGCAAACCAAAGCGGTACACCTCAACCAAAACAAGATGGCTGCGGATGGTCACAATTGGCGAGTTTCCAAACTCCTCCCCAGTACTTCTCAAGTTGGTAGAGGATTATATATGTTTCTGGAGCTCATAGTTTTTTCGCTTCGAGCCATGCCCTGATAGGCACGTGCGCCCGTCCCTCATTCGGGGACGCCAGGAGCGCGTTTTATTGTCTCAGCAGTTTAAAGTTAGTCGTCTGCTTATTTCTCCATCCTCCCGGCTGGTGAGGGGGAGAGACTATCGGCCCCATCTTGCAGAGGAAGAGCCTACTGTCCGATGCAAAGTGACACTGATGTGTTTATAGACTAAACAAGTGCTCACCAAAAATCGCCCTGAAGCGCACTTGGTCATGTTCTAGGTTAAATGTCGGACTGTGGCATTTTAATACCCGGCTTTAAGGGAAGGAATCCCATTATGGGTTCCCAGCAGATTTCTTGTCTCAAAATATTCAGAATCCGAATGGCTGCACTATCCTTCATATCCTACCAGGGCTACTGATGCTGGATGATTTCACCATTACAAATTGGGTCGCTTTTTACAATGACGATATACAACAACTGTTGGCTTTATTACAATACTGTAGATTTATACTGTGTGCCTACCGGGTTTTACGTTTATTATCTATACCTATACAAAAACGCAAAAACGTCTTTTGACAGTCATGACTTCGTATGTGTATGGCGACTTCGCGATCATGACATTGTATTGTCCAAAAATGGATTCCAAGGAAGATATTGAGCAAATAAAAACTGATTACAATGCTTTGAAGACCATTGTGACGACATCGTTATCTTGACGTCACAGTAAATCGACATCACTAATATCTTTGCCACTTCAACAGGTTAGGTTTGCGGTATTAACCAGGGCCTATATTGTCGAAGCTCTCTTAGCGCTAAGACAGTCATAAGTGCCATACATTAACATTAACTTACGACTATCTTAGCGCTAAGAGAGTTTTGAAAATCTAGGCCCTGGACGCTTCTTGACTTTAGATGACCTCTTATAAATCCATGGCAACCACGCTGGTTAGTTGAACATTTTGCTACCAAGATTGTTTATTACTCTTGGCCAGCTAAAAACATTTCCTAAATATCAGTAATAGAACATTTGGTGTTATAGTTTGATATTTGTGGGAGGGCGGGGAAAGGCCATGCCAAATAAGGACCTATTTTTATCTGATATTGATATTGATTCATTTCTAGTGAAATGGGTTTTACGCAGCTTTTAGCAATATTCCAGCAATATCACGGCGGGGAACACCAGAAATGGGCTTCACACATTGCAAACGTTGTGGGGAATCGAACCCGGGTCGTCGGCGTGACGAACGAACGCTTTAACTACTAGGCTACCCCACCTCCCGGATTCATTTAGAGGAATTGACTTCAGTGTATTGACAGAGTTCGAACACCAGTTTTCTCCTTTATAATCATAAAGACAAAATGGGTGGTGCAAATAGTAATCAGTTTTTATGACCTACTTCCGGAGCGGACAATATTGATAGGTCCATAGCCTTCAGTTTGTTTCCAGGCGTCCCATATGCCCAGTCTTCTGTTGTTAACACGCGTCAGTTTTCCCATAACAAATATCACGCTTTGTGTAGACAGTGTCCCAGTCAGCACCTACCTCAGCTGTGTATCTCTGCATGGAAAGCAGCTCCTCCTTCCGGTTGTGAAACACGGACTCGATCACGGCTGTGTCCCCCTGGGAGGAAAAAATAACAAACTACTTATGGGATCGTATTAAAAGCGCCTGTAGGTAACGATATATTTGGAACCTGGTTGAACAGGTTACGCGTAACCCGTCTCCGGAGAAATGTGGCGCCGAACAGTTTACAAGCGGTGTTCTTCAGATATTGCGTAGATCGTTGGAATATTTAGACATAATACGATCCCGAGGTCCGAGAAGTAAATGATTTGAAGAAATGCGATCCTTGAATATATTCCGAAACATCTTAAATACGGGCAGTGTGTTGGACGGCAAGATGAGCACATGTATGGGTTAATGAATCACGTGTCCAAAGTCATATTTTGTGGTCAAATGCTGCATATGTTATATTTGGCATTACACTTTCTCAGTAAAGTACAGATTCTAGTACTTTTGTTGGGTTGAGTCCCATCCGAGGTGGCTGAGCGGGTTAGGCGGCTGACTTTGTGTGTTGGCGATTAGGTGTCTGACTCTGAGGGTGTGGGTTCAACTCCCGGATGGGACTCAGCCCAGCAATAGTACCAGAGCGTTCAACCCCATTTCACCTTACCTATATGATACAGTACAGAGAAAGCAGGTGAGCGGGTAGTCAAATAAGGACTAATAGTCATTACATATTCGATTTCGGTTTGATTATCGTAATAATATCATCTCACTGTATCTCACTGTATCACTTCTTTGAGTCAGCATTGAGAAGCCGGTATGATGGAGAGGAACACTTTTTATGGATAGACAACTTCTTTGTTGTAATAGATGCGACGTTTCGGTGTAGATCCTGTGTTATCATTTACTTGATAATGGTCTGAGGATCTACACCGATTGTGATCTCAGCTCTTACGTTGATACTTCTAGACAGGGCAATTCGCTTGTGTTTGTTCTCCGCTCGGAGTCGAGCAATAAGCTCTTCGTTCTTCGTCTTGAGAGCCTCTGATCCTTCGAAATACGCCTTTCCATCTCGCTCTGAAACAAACACATCCGTGTCATGGGTTCAAATGTAGGCGATAAGAGATGGACATTCGAAACGTATATCAAAATCAGAGGGCTTTGTGGTAGAACATGCTTTGGGGTCAGGGGTTTGGTTTCATATGGCACAGTGTAAAAGATCTTGAGAAGGGCCTCTCCAACATGGCTTATTTCTTTGTCATTACCCCGAGAGCGACTTTATTGATTTCTACTGAAATAACAGGTTAGATAACTCAATGATTTCTCAGGTAAAACATGCAGACCTGTGAGAAAAGAGAAATAATGCCAACTTATCTTACAATCTCTGTACAAGTGTACCTGAAATGTTTTAAGTATAACTACCTAAAATAATGTTTAACCAAATATTGTGTTTTTAAGCGGCAATTGCCACATGAGAAGGCGAAGGCCATTCTTGGTGTCTCGTGACAGCTGAATATGGCTCGAATATTGGCAAAACAGTGTGAAACCAAATCAGTAGTCTGTCTCACAGTCCCTGAACCACATTAATTTCCCTACTGCCAAGCTCTCTCTGCAGTGCTAAAGCCCTAAATAAAGCAAGTCTAGATTTCCTCAGGTTCAGGTTCTGAATCTCTGGTCTCCCTAGGGCTCCTTTTCAATATAAATGGGCTTGTTTGTTTCTATCAAAATTATATATATTCAGAGACTAAGCCTTAGTCTACCAAATCAGCCACTCACTCACTAACTCTCACTCACTCACACGCACAACCAACCGACCTGATAAACACCCTGCCAATGACAATTTTAAATGATCTACGCCTCCTACTCAGGGGCGGATACAGCGTTTTGAGAAACGGGGGGTGCACACTATTGAGAAATGGAGGAGTGCACACTTCATTTTCACCCGTGTTTCAATGGTCATTTAACAAACTTTCAGCACAAAGGGGTGGGGTGGGGGACCCTGAACCAACCCCACCACCACCCCTCCTTGGATCCGCCTATGCTACTGAAGCTCACCTTTCAGATGTAGTTTACCGCGCAGTTCTTCAATTTGTTCAGACAGGCTGCTGGCGATGCCAGTCGCCGTATCCGTCCTCATCTGCATGACTCTAGGAATCCTAGTAAAAACAGTTCTTTATGCAGTATGAACATATATGATTCTATTTCCTAATCCGAAACATGATATATACCTAAAATATACTGCAATACATATTCTTTGTAAAGGCAATGTTTACTGTATCTCATATATTGTTAATGCATTGCTAAAAACAGCCGGTGACTATTAGTTGTCAATACATTGTTAAATATAATGGTAACTATTAATTATTTATGCATCGTTAACTACAGTCGATGACTATCGTTACTGGATCGTTAAATGCAATCAATAGCTAGTTCAGATCATTTTGAGGGATTAACTGGGAATGGCAAAGGTTTCAGATCGCAGGTTTCCAAGGATTCCGAGTCCTGGTTCTCACGCCATGGTGCCGTTGTACATAGAGATCTTAGCGATCTCCCCTACTTTTACATAGACTTACGACAATCGCAGCGCTAATGTTGTTTTGTACAACGGTACCCTGGTTCATATTGTTTCGAATCTACTTTGAGCAGAGAGAGCTGATTTTGTCCCACGATTTGTCACCATGGATCATGGATCCACCAGTATGAGTCAGTGGCTAACAGCATCAGTGGAAACGTGTGACGCCCCCTCCTTCCAAGGAGACAAAGTCAGTGAGCTAACATGGGGTTATGTAGAAAAGAAATAAGTAACAACGCAGTCCACACTGTGAGGGCGTCCTTATTTAATTCTGTGTTTCTCATCTCCCGCCGCCCGTAAAAATCCCACCCGCCCATACAATAATTTATTTATTTATTTCTAAACATTGCGCCGACCATTCTCAATTGTAACTGCCCATTGAAAAAAAAATGTTTCACCACAAGAAAAATAAACATTGAGTTACAAATGTATTAAATTTCAATGGAAAACGAAAAACGAATCGTAGGAAGCAACTCTTGCATCTCGACTCCCTGTCACGATTTAGGATTCACATCCACTAATATTTACGATCCGGCAATGTTAGGAGTTGGCGATTTTCACGTGCAAATATGGCGGTCAACTCCACAATATCGTGTATCACTGGTAGGGAACATGGTTACAGTGAGAGTGGAGTCTTTGTGATTTTTGCGACAGAAACTTTATGATTTGTGACAGAGTCTTTGTGATCTTAGCATCTGTAAGGCGAGGGTAAGGTACAATAAATGTCCTGTGGGCATAGTTTTCTCTATGCTTAGATTTACTTCAATATTCCGGAAATATATAGTTTAATAAAAACCACTTTTGGGATTGAAGTAGCCATAAATCGGCACTTGAACAGGGATGTAACACTACAGTGTTCCTCAAGCCTGTAGTGTTCATTCACACATTGCGTTACATGAGACAACACTTTACATTTTTATGTCTATTTATGATTGACAGATAGTCATCATTTATCTACAACAATGTGTAGATCACAATCATCATCAAAATCATCATGAACATTGACTAAATTTTCTGCTTCTGAAAATAATTGTTTCTGTAGTGAGTTAAGCATTGTGAACGGGGCTTTGTACTATCTATACTAAACAGCAAAAGAAACGCAAGTTTCGAAAAAATAAAAGTAAGCGTTCATGTTTATGGAACGTTCATGGTAAAGTGACGTTGATTGATCCCAGATGAGATGATGTCATGCATTTTGACGTCCATACGAAACATTCGCACAAACACACCAAAAGTGCAGCAAAACCATAATGTTAGCACGTGTATCGACGGTTCTGGGTGGAAAGCATGTATTTCACACTGAGGTATCCTTAATAAAGGTTTGTGTCAAAAAACAGTTGAGTATTGACGCTAGGAGGTGCACACGCCACACAAACGATGCCTAGACTAACGACTGAGCAGAGGGAATGGCCATTGGAAAGTTGCACGGAGGAAGCTCTGCAAGATCGGTTCATCCGGGTCACTCATCTAAGGAACCGAACTCAAGCAGCAACAGTAACAGCAGCCTTACTTTATTGGTCAATGGGAGCAGTGTCCAGCGACACGATTAGGCGTCCACAGCTGCCAACGGTCATAAGCGGGGCCAATTTTGACGTTTACAGCCCTCAGCGACGTTTACAGCCCTCACAAAGCAAGGGTGTCGATGGATCATCTGGCTCAGGCATTCTTTCAGACTCTAGTGAACTCAATGAGGCGACGTTGCACGGCCTGTGTGCAAGCTCAAGGTGGATATATGCGCCAGTAAAGAGATTGTCACTTTTCGCGTTCAGGAATATTTCCATTTGACGGCCTGTGATCAATTTGAACTTAATGCAATTCAATGTCAACAGCAACTTTCAGCTGTTACATTGATAGTGTTGTCTATAGAATAAATGATTAGACATAATTTTGGTTGCGTTTCTTTTGCAGTTCAGTATATTTGTATGGGTTCCATTTTGAGAGGTAATGATATTGTGACTTGCAATCATTTGCAGGTAATATAGAATGGAGAACTGTACATGATGCACACAACATTTCCCTTGAGATAATAAGGAAATCATCTTATCTTATGACTTGTTCATTTGGGCGACTGACATAATTCGTTATGAATATCCAGTTCTTCAAGGGTTGTTAAATCTGGATGTTTTACTCATATTTATCATCAAAATGACTTTCATTGCAAGTTATGATAAAAATTATATCTGTGCTATAGTTATATTTATTTAAGTAAATTATAAAGTTGCAAGATGATATTATGTGTTGTTTAGGAAAATTATACACACAAACTAAAGCTATAATTACCATTTTATCTTATTACAACACATATCATTGCAAAGACTCTGTGACATAAAGTTTCTGTCGCCAAACTCATAAAGACTCCACTGTTACTGTAGCCAAGTTCCCTACCAGTGAACATACACTCTGGTAAGGAACATAGGGGCAAACTGTATTGTCTTTACCATGATTCCCAATGCAAAATGCGAGTATACATTCATATTTTAATATTGAATAGTATCTTTTCTTTTTTTGGCCTTTTTTTTCGCCCGCCCGTCCGCCCCAATCTTGGAACAGTCGGGCGATGAGAAACACAGAATTAAGTACGGACGCCCTTAGGCTTTAAATATTTCGCCACCCATCGTACTATATACCACTGGCACATGTCTACATGTATCTATATCTACAAATACAAGGAAGGCTAATAAATTGTGTCGCTCACGTGGATCAACTTGTTTGTTTGATCTGCAAAGTTTAGGGAACTTCGATGATAGACACATCTAGGCGTTAGACAAATGTTATATGCTCCCACCCTCAGTCGGTCAGACTGCAATATTTGGGTCGTCAAACCAAACAGTGGGAAACTTACCGTTCACATGTGTGTCTGACGGTTTTAGTAGGCTGCCATTATTGCTGTTGTCAAGGGAGTGGTAACAACAGACCGAAGTCATAATAGACATGACGTCACAAAACATGGCGACATAATATAATGACGTCACTTGCTAATGGAATATATATATGACGTGTAAGTCTAGTTTTGTCCCATGAAGTACAGTAAAATGTCGGATCTCGGATCATGTATTGTAGGCGAGGTGATGGGGAGAGAGGCGTGGAGGGTAATGTTTTTAGAGTATTTTATATGGTTATCAGCACACTCTCGCCCATTGTGCACCTTCTTTTTATCAGCCCCACTTAAAAACATGTAACGTATGATTTGTTACTTTCGCCTACCGCCCGGGAGGGTCACCACAAAATATGGGAAGATCGTGAAAATTATTTATACATTTGTTGGTGAGCGTCTGTTGAAAAAAAAGAAGATTTTCTTCTAGTGAATACTATAGTTGATTGCATTTTGTCTTTTCGAGGAGGGGCGGTGAGGTAGCCTAGTGGTTAAAGCGTTCGCTCGTCATGCTGAAAGCCCGGGTTCGATTCACCATAATGGGTACAATTTTTGAATCCCCCGCCGTGATATTGCTGGTATATTGCTAAAATGTCCTCCCAAAGACCCTTGCAAAAACAATAAGGAACCTTTTTTGGAAAGATTGTTTTAATGCATATGGAAATTTTGCAAAGCAAATAAGTCCGAATACGTTTGAAAATTTTCGTGCTGAGAGAACTCCAATATTGTTATTGGCAAACAGACTTCCTTTAATTAACAAAAGTATGAGGGATAAAGGCATTACTCAAATAGTTGATATTCTTAACGATGGTAATGCTTTTATGCTTTTAACAGAGTTTGAAGGAATATCGCTAAAAGCGGCGTAAAACCCAACTCACTCACTCACTCACTCTTTTCCAGGAGAGCCACAAAATATGACACGCATCGGGGGAGGGTTATCATTTTCAGTACTTTAGTACATCAGATATCTTGGAGTCAGGAGGCATATTTATATCTGAATAATTACAGACAGATAAAAACAACCATGTCACGAACTCGTGCACGTGGCATTGTATGTTTTAACAGAACTTGAACTAGTGTGAAACAGCTTCCATGTCATTCCCGGAGAAGTGACATGTTTAGAGTTATCTGCCCTTTGCCCGCTGCTGAAGCGAGGGAAACTCAAGTTTCAGATGGCATCGACACCCAAACAGACGAATTCCAAGCAAAGGTTAGAACTTTTTATAGATTACATTTGTACCTTATTTCATTACGAAAGTCTATACGGTGGGTGTTTGCCTGGTACAGGGCTTCGATTTGCTTTACGACCTCGCATTAAGAAATAAAACGTTTACTGGGCCTTTCTGCTGAGATATTCTGATCGTAGTGTGTGGCGCTGTACAGCCTGTAGCTAAGATACATAGCGTTCACTAACATGAGTGAACGCTATGTATCTTAGCTAGTGGCGCTGTAGTCTGTCTCACAGTCCCTGAACCACATTAATTTCCCTACTGCCAAGCCCTCTCAGCTGTGCTAAAGCCCTAAATAAAGCAAGTCTAGATTTCCTCAGGTTCTGAATCTCTGGTCTCCCTAGGGCTCCTTTTCAATATAAATGGGCTTGTTTGTTACTATCAAAATTAAATATATTCAGAGACTAAGCCTTAGTCTAGTGGCGCTGGTGAGAACGGTGTTCGAATAAACTCAAGATAGTTGACCTATTTTCCATGCAAGACTGTTGTGTAGTTCAGCAGAACATGCGATGATAACACTGTATGAGTAGGACACTATTTAAAATGATGTCAAGTGAACAGATTAAAGTAATATTATATCATGGTCTAATCTGGCTTGTTTCATCCCTGGAGGATATAGGGTCTCTGAATGTGATTATTCCAGATTCTCCCTGATTATACATATGAATAATTAAGTTATGCTATTCAATGTTTTACAAATAACATACACTTTGACACATTGTAAGTGTTTTGATTAGCAATTCTTCAGAATTTGTGAGTCATGAAAATATTTTGTCAATATAACAATTCCTTTAATGTTTCTCAATAAATTAGGAGTGATATATAATTTAATACAGTGCAGGGTTACCTATTTATAGATCTATTAACTAGTCAATTCATTCATAACAAACTTGAATATTATGAATTGGTGAAAACACCAGTGAATATATTTGTCATAATTAACTTGTCGTTGCAGCATCTTCAAGCAAGTACAAATATAAACATTGACAGACTTAATTACTGTACTAAGAACAGCATCAGCTAGAACATGTATGAAAATATTTTGGGAGTATTTTACAAAATTGTTCAGTCAAATACCCAGAAATTATACATCATGTAAAACCCTGATTTTTAATATCCATTTTTGTTTTATTTATTTCAGTGTTCAACGAAGAAATAGCCAAGGCAACTTTAAGTCACCTCTTGGTCAACTGTTCAAGTCACCGGTGGGTGTGAACTTTGTCAGGACTGTTACTATGGTAACCATAGTGTGCCATGGCAGTGTAGTCAGTGTAGTCTTGTCACAATACAACAGCATGGCAGCTATTAGACGTTTGTTCTTGTGGAAATGTCCCAGTGACATCTTAGGCCAAAAATAAATATGTCTGTTTCCTATTACATGCTTTTGAAAAGGTGGGTTGATTTTATCTTCTTTTTATTTTACTTTATAAAAAAAAATTTAAGTAGCACCAGGTGGCCACCTGAGAATGTCTTCAAGGATACCATATCATGTTGTTACAATGCCTTGTGAAGAAACATTGAAAGATTTCTATATCAAATCATTATTCATGTTATTTATTTGCAGGTTTTGTCAGTGAGAGCCCATTATGCCAATTCAATGCAATCCATTTTAGCCCTACATACACTGAAAAACATAAAAATATCATACTCGATTTTGGATGAAATGATGAGTTGAAATGCACTCCAGTCATGATTTTTACTTGGTTAAGAAAAGTACCCATGTGGGGAATAGAACCCGGGTCTTCGGCATGGCGAGCAGACACTTTAACCATAAGGCTACCCCACCGCACCAAATATACAAGAGAAGTATTTATCAGACATGTAACAGTGTTGGTAGAAACGAACTGTAGGTGCTAACTAAAGAACACTTTCTTTAATTTAAATCATAAAGTCTTTTTAAGGTTACACTACTAAAACTACAGAATGAGACACTACAGAAGTCTGGGTATACCTTTGACACTATTTTTCATCTGTTGGAGTTTTCCATTTTGTGTATATATTTTAAGATAGCAGCATGAGAATTGGTAAGACGGGCTAACATAATGTCCAGAATCTATTTATCTCCAGTCAGTCATCATTACTATAAATACGGCCAGTCAAGTGATGCACAAACCTGTCACACAACTGTTGTGTATTCTTGAATTGTTTCAAATTCTTCTTGCTATTCATGCATGAAATGATTTATATTACTGGTAAGAACTTAAAGTCCACCCTATTTTTTATCTGCACACAATTATATCTGTCAATACAATGATTACTGTGTTATGAAAACTTGAATGTTTGTTATCGTCTTTTCAGTGTGCTGAGTTGTATATATTTGAATGTGCTGTGCTGTTTTTAATTGCACTTTCTCAATGCAATATTTCCTGGATATTATACAGATGTCTTTTTCTATTTGCCAGCTTGGCTCAACAAGATCTCTGACACCAGAAAGTGAGGAGACTTTACAGGCGGACATTGTCGCCCTTCATGCCAGGCTGTCCGAGGTGGAGACAGAGATTCAACAGCTGGTTGATGAGTAGGGAGAGTTCTAACATCCTCTGGTATATAGCATAGTCCATGTAGGTCTCCCAGCTATTGTGATAGTAATCCCGCGTACAGACCATCTGCCAAGAGCAGGACGTCATTGGTTCAATCCCGTGATACCCGTGAAGGTCCGGGTTAGAATATTGATCTTAAGTAACCCATGCTTGTCGTAAGAGGCGACTAACGGGATCGGGTGGTCAGGCTCGGGTGTTAGCAGTAATGAAATAACCCAAGGCCTGGTGTTACCAGTAATGGAATAACTCATGGCCTGGTGTTAGCAGTAATGGAATACCCAAGGCGTGGTGTTAGCAGTAATGGAATACCCATGGCCTGGTGTTAGCAGTAATGGAATACCAATGGCCTGGTGTTAGCAGTAATGGAATACCCATGGCCTAGTGTTAGCAGTAATGGAATAACACATGGCCTTGTGTAAGCAGTAAGGGAATAACACATGGCCTGATCTTAGCAGTAATGAAATAACCCAAGGCCTGGTGTAAGCAGTAAGGGAATAACACATGGCCTGATCTTAGCAGTAATGGAATAACCCAAGGCCTGGTGTTACCAGTAATGGAATAACTCATGGCCTGGTGTTAGCAGTGATGGAATAACACATGGCCTGGTGTTAGAAGTAATGGAATAACACATGGCCTGGTGTTAGCAGTAATGAAATAACCCAAGGCCTGGTGTAAGCAGTAAGGGAATAACACATGGCCTGATCTTAGCAGTAATGGAATACCCAAGGCCTGGTGTTAGCAGTAAGGGAATAACCCAAGGCCTGGTGTTAGCAGTAATGGAATAACCCAAGGCCTGGTGTTAGCAGTAATGGAATAACTCATGGCCTGGTGTTAGCAGTAATGGAATAACACATTGCCTGGTGTTAGCAGTAATGGAATAACACATGGCCTGGTGTTAGCAGTAATGGAATAACACATGGCCTGGTGTTAGCAGTAATGGAATAACACATGGCCTGGTGTTAGCAGTAATGGAATAACACATGGCCTGGTGTTAGCAGTAATGGAATAACACATGGTCTGGTGTTAGCAGTAATGGAATAACACATGGCCTGGTGTTAGCAGTAATGGAATAACACATGGCCTGGTGTTAGCGGTAATGGAATAACCCAAGGCCTAGTGTAAGTGGTAATGGAATAACACATGGCCTGGTGTTAGCGGTAATGGAATAACACATGGCCTGGTGTTAGCAATAATGGAATAACTCATGGCCTGGTGTTAGCAGTAATGGAATAACACATGGCCTGGTGTTAGCAGTAATGGAATAACACATGGCCTGGTGTTAGCAGTAATGGAATAATACATGGCCTGGTGTTAGCAGTAATGGAATAACACATGGCCTGGTGTTAGCAGTAATGGAATAACACATGGCCTGGCGTTAGCGGTAATGGAATAACCCAAGGCCTAGTGTTAGTGGTAATGGAATAACACATGGCCTGGTGTTAGCGGTAATGGAATACCCAAGGCCTAGTGTTTGCAGTAATGGAATAACCCAAGGCCTGGTGTTAGCAGTAATGGAATAACTCATGGCCTGGTGTTAGCAGTAATGGAATAACCCAAGGCCTGGTGTTAGCAGTAATAGAATAACCCAAGGCCTGGTGTAAGCAGTAAGGGGGTTTGAGTACCCTGTTTTGAAAATGACTTAAAACCACATTGAAGATTTTTTTTTTGCGTTGGCAGAGCAAATGGGGGGTTCAGGGGGTTCAAACACCCTGAAAAAACAAACAAAACACACACGCACGCACACACACACCCACTTTTCCTGGATCCAACCATGTACACCCAGCCCAATAATGTCAATGAAAACAGTTATATAGTATATAGTTGTACCAAGGAATTCTGTCTGTCCGAAAACATTTTTGTTCAACCAATAATTTGAAAGTGGGCCTTTAAGTAATACAGTCTGGACCATACAATTCAGTGACTGACATCATGATCTTTGTATGCATTTGGGATATGATGAGATGCATGAACCAAGTGAACGAGTCTGACCACCTGGACCTCCTTTCACAAAGCACTAAGGTGATCGTAAGTCACTAAAGTAACCTTAGTGCAATGTTAAAGAATGGGAGTTAAGGTTAACCTTAGTAAAGGTTGTTTTGTGAAAGGAGCCCCTGATCCCATTAGCCATCTCTTAAACAGTCTCTCCGACTTGTTAAGTTATAACACACTTTTAAATCACACAAGATTATGGCATGATAAAAATGCTCATCATATTAGCAGCTTAATGATGAAATCCGTGTCAACATTCAAATTTCGGACTAGTGAATTATTTTGTGGGCTAGTAACTTTCAGGCATAGCTAGCCCGACTAGCTAACAAAATTTGGAAACTATTTTGCACACTGATTCTAACCCAAATCACGTTGGGTGATATTCCCTGTAGCAATGGTCGGTAATTGATGAATATAACAGCTGTTTCACTGACTGACTGACTGACTGAGTTTTACGCCGCTTTTAGCAATATTCCAGCAACATCACGGCGGGGGACACCAGAAATGGGCTTCACACCTTGTACCCATGTGGGGATTCGAACCCGAACAGCTGTTTCAGGTATGGGTTACGAGTAGTATATACCAGGTACCTGTAATATATTTGAAGCTCTCTTCCTCATCACCTTTCGTTTAAGATGTAAGACCTTGACCTTGATAAAATCCCTTGCTTGATGTTTTACAGTTTTTACCCATACCTTGCAGTTGTGGTCTATATATATGTGAATAACCTCTTTAATGCCTACCTATCAGATATAACATCAGCCATATTTCCCATGCAGTCAACTAATGACTAGGTGTTAACATGTTTCTGAAATGGGCGTGAGTCCCCCGGGCGAAATCTATGATATCACTCTACTTTAGAGAATGGGGGAAATATTGAAGTTGTTTTCAATGAACTGTATATGTTGTCATGGTTACAGAGGGTACAAGCAAGAAGAGCTTCAGACACACATTGAGAAACTCCATGAGTACAATGAGATTAAGGACACTGGACAGATGATCCTCGGGAGGATAGGTAAGCTGTGGGAACACCTCCATGACTTGTCTCAAGTCAGACGTGGAAACACCATCCATACTGTAGCTGTAGCTCTAACTCAGGCATGGAAACCATATAGCTAAGGTGACAAAACAATGCCCAACACCATCCATACTGTAGCTGTAGCTCTAACTCAGGCATGGAAACCATATAGCTAAGGTGACAAAACAATGTCCAACACCATCCATACTGTAGCTGTAGCTCTAACTCAGGCATGGAAACCATATAGCTAAGGTGACAAAACAATGTCCAACCTCTACTTCAGTATTAACTCAGGCAAAACCATATAGCTAAGGCTTTGGAAAAACTTCAGTACAATATTGTGCTTTGGATAATATTTTTGCACCAAGTGTGTGCCTTAACTTTACCTTGACGGTTGAACCGTTAGATTTTAAGTATCAGTAAGTACATTTTACAATTTTCAATATACCATATGTGAATTGGGTGTGTCACAGTATGTGTGTATGGGACAATGAGCAAACACTTGACCCACAAGGCTAGCCCTGAAGAGCCAGTGCCCCAGAAACATATTTACCTGTAACCAGGTAGTCTTTAGCTGCTTGTGTGTGGGACACATAAGATATTTATAAAGTACAACAATATAACAACCAATGAGGAAGTGGTAAAATGTAACATGTTAGATTTAGGAGATAAACAACATGTTTTGACCAAATTCCGGGTGTTATTGAGTATTTGAAGCACGGAAATTCATTTGGAACCGACGACGTGAGCCGGAGGTTTCAAATTAAATATTCCCGTGCTTCAAATACCCAATAACACCCGGAAATTGGACAACACATGATGTTTATCGACAATGTAAACACAAAAGTAAACCAAAAGGTCCACACACGTTTTTGTGTCTGCACTCATTGACATCGAGTAGGGGTACAGCAGTGAAATGTCATCAGCTGGCCGTTTCAGCTGTCTCCCATGGTAGCATCTGGAACTGCTCATTTGTGACGTCATTCCGACTTTATATCACAATATGATTTGAATGACGTCATCTCAGCTGACGACGACGTAACAATACAATGGTGTGAGCGATGTTTGTATGTATTAATATGCAGCGAATTTCCGGGAATCGAATACCATTTGATCATGTTTATCAACCAATCAGATTAAAGAACACAGTGACTTTTGGTTTACAATTGGAATTACATTTTCCCAAACGTGTTACATTGGACCACTTTCTAAATGGCATTGTATATTCATAGCTTTCAGGGCGTTGGGGTAGCCTAGTGGTTAAAGCGTTGGCTCGTCACGCCGAAGACCCGGGTTCGAATCCCCACATGGGTACATTGTGTGAAGCCCATACGTGGTGTTCCCGCCGTGATGTTACTGGAATATTGCTAAAAGCGGCATAAAATCAAACTCAGTCAGTCAGTCATAGCTTTCAGCCTTTACACTTATCAGAGGGGTACACAAAGTCTGTGGTCTGAACTACCAGTTGTCTGACTTCAGTCATTGTGGAAGCTGTGGTGGCTGGGTGGGTTACATGGCTGATTTTGTGTGTTGGCGGTTAGACTCTGAGGGTATGGGTTCGATTCCTGGATGGGACGCAACCCAACAAAAGAACTAGAGGCCGATATGTATTTCTTTGTCAATCTGTATTTACCTGTATGGTGCAGGTATGACATACAATAACGGCCTGTATACTTAACTGTAAACAAAAGTATTGCGTTTGGCATATTATACCATCTGATCGATGTTGCTGTGAGCTTACTGGATCATGTGACACACTTTCTCAGCACTTGAAGTGACACGGTTTGGAAGCACATGAACATCTGCAACTTACAAGTCACCTGAAACATTAGTTAAAGAAACATTTCTACTAATTTGATTTCTGAATGTGACTAAACCTGAATGATTAAAAATATATTTAATATCCTAATAAAAAATATATATACAATGAAATTAATTAGAGATAGGAAGAGTACCTTATACTCAATGCTTCCAAACATTATCTTGAGCACTAAACTGCCCTGGGTACAATGTGTGAAGCCCATTTCAGGTGTTCTGTGTTTCATAGTGCTGGAATAGTACTAAAAGTGGTGTGAAACTAAACTCACTCATTATACTGCACAATGCAACATGCTGAACTGTGTCCGTATGAAACCACATAAACAAATATTTTCAAACATCTGTGGCATAATCTTGCATTCTTTTCTTCCAGCAACAATGGAAGCAGTGAGAACTAAGGACCTGTATGAGAGATACAGCTTGGGGCTGGAGGATTGACAGATCTTGTGTCATGTGTTCTTCAGTTCTGTTAGAGATGACTGGAAACCTGTCAGATGTGACCTGAATGTTCTGTCAGACTTAGCCGGGAACCTCTGTTAGATGTGACCTGAATGCTCTGTCAGACTTAGCCAGGAACCTGTTAGATGTGACCTGAATGTTCTGTCAGACTTAGCCAGGAACCTCTGTTAGATGTGACCTGAATGCTGTGTCAGACTGAGCCAGGAACCTCTGTTAGATGTGACCTGAATGCTCTGTCAGACTGAGCCAGGAACCTCTGTTAGATGTGACCTGAATGTTCTGTCAGACTTAGCCAGGAACCTCTGTTAGATGTGACCTGAATGCTGTGTCAGACTGAGCCAGGAACCTCTGTTAGATGTGACCTGAATGCTCTGTCAGACTGAGCCAGGAACCTCTGTTAGATGTGACCTGAATGCTCTGTCAGACTAAGCCAGGAACCTGTTAGATGTGACCTGAATGCTCTGTCAGACTGAGCCAGGAACCTCTGTTAGATGTGACCTGAATGCTCTGTCAGACTTAGCCGGGAACCTGTTAGATGTGACCTGAATGTTCTGTCAGACTTAGCCAGGAACCTCTGTTAGATGTGACCTGAATGCTCTGTCAGACTGAGCCAGGAACCTCTGTTAGATGTGACCTGAATGCTCTGTCAGACTGAGCCGGGAACCTCTGTTAGATGTGACCTGAATGTTCTGTCAGACTTAGCCCGGGAACCTCTGTTAGATGTGACCTGAATGCTCTGTCAGACTGAGCCAGGAACCTCTGTTAGATGTGACCTGAATGCTCTGTCAGACTGAGCCAGGAACCTCTGTTAGATGTGACCTGAATGCTCTGTCAGACTAAGCCAGGAACCTGTTAGATGTGACCTGAATGCTGTGTCAGACTGAGCCAGGAACCTCTGTTAGATGTGACCTGAATGCTCTGTCAGACTTAGCCTGAATGGAACCTCTGTTAGATGTGACCTGAATGCTCTGTCAGACTTAGCCAGGTGAACTGTCAGACTTAGCCAGGAACCTGTTAGATGTGACCTGAATGCTCTGTCAGACTTAGCCAGGAACCTCTGTTAGATGTGAACCTCTGTTAGATGTGACCTGAATGTTCTGTCAGACTTAGCCGGGAACCTGCTGTTAGATGTGACCTGAATGCTCTGTCAGACTAAGCCAGGAACCTGTTAGATGTGACCTGAATGTTCTGTCAGACTTAGCCAGGAACCTCTGTTAGATGTGACCTGAATGCTCTGTCAGACTTAGCCAGGAACCTCTGTTAGATGTGACCTGAATGCTCTGTCAGACTGAGCCAGGAACCTCCTGTTAGATGTGACCTGTTAGATGTGACCTGAATGCTCTGTCAGACTGCTGTCAGACTTAGCCAGGAACCTCTGTTAGATGTGACCTGAATGCTCTGTCAGACTTAGCCAGGAACCTGCTGTTAGATGTGACCTGAATGCTCTGTCAGACTTAGCCAGGAACCTCTGTTAGATGTGACCTGAATGTTCTGTCAGTCAGACTTAGCCAGGAACCTCTGTTAGATGTGACCTGAATGCTCTGTCAGACTTAGCCAGGAACCTCTGTTAGATGTGACCTGAATGCTCTGTCAGACTTAGCCAGGAACCTCTGTTAGATGTGACCTGAATGCTCTGTCAGACTTAGCCAGGAACCTCTGTTAGATGTGACCTGAATGTTCTGTCAGACTTAGCCAGGAACCTCTGTTAGATGTGACCTGAATGCTCTGTCAGACTTAGCCAGGAACCTCTGTTAGATGTGACCTGAATGCTCTGTCAGACTTAGCCAGGAACCTCTGTTAGATGTGACCTGAATGCCTGTCAGACTTAGCCAGGAACCTGTTTAGATGTGACCTGAATGCTCTGTCAGACTCAGACTTTAGATGTGACCTGAACCTCTGTTAGATGTGACCTGAATGCTCTGTCAGACTTAGCCAGGAACCTCTGTTAGATGTGACCTGAATGCTCTGTCAGACTGCTCTGTCAGCCAGTTAGAACCTGAATGCTCTGTCAGATGTGACCTGAATGCTCTGTCAGACTTAGCCAGGAACCTCTGTTAGATGTGACCTGAATGCTCTGTCAGACTAAGCCAGGAACCTCTGTTAGATGTGACCTGAATGCTCTGTCAGACTTAGCCAGGAACCTCTGTTAGATGTGACCTGAATGCTCTGTCAGACTAAGCCAGGAACCTCTGTTAGATGTGACCTGAATGCTCTGTCAGACTTAGCCAGGAACTCTGTTAGAACCTCTGTTAGATGTGACCTGAATGCTCTGTCAGACTTAGCCAGGAACCTCTGTTAGATGTGACCTGAATGCTCTGTCAGACTTAGCCAGGAACCTCTGTTAGATGTGACCTGAATGCTCTGTCAGACTTAGCCAGGAACCTCTGTTAGATGTGACCTGAATGCTCTGTCAGACTTGTTAGATGTGACCTGAATGCTCTGTCAGACTTACCCAGGAACCTCTGTTAGATGTGACCTGAATGCTCTGTCAGACTTACCCAGGAACCTCTGTTAGATGTGACCTGAATGCTCTGTCAGACTTAGCCAGGAACCTCTGTTAGATGTGACCTGAATGCTCTGTCAGACTTAGCCAGGAACTCCTGTTAGATGTGACCTGAATGCTCTGTCAGACTTAGCCAGGAACCTCTGTTAGATGTTAGATGTGACCTGAATGCTCTGTCAGACTTAGCCAGGAACCTCTGTTAGATGTGACCTGAATGCTGTCAGACTTAGCCAGAACCTCTGTTAGATGTGACCTGAATGCTCTGTCAGACTTAGCCAGGAACCTCTGTTAGATGTGACCTGAATGCTCTGTCAGACTTAGCCACCTGGAATGCTCTGTCAGACTGTTGTTAGATGTGACCTGAATGCTCTGTCAGACTTAGCCAGGAACTCCTGTTAGATGTGACCTGAATGCTCTGTCAGACTTAGCCAGGAACCTCTGTTAGATGTGACCTGAATGCTCTGTCAGACTTAGCCAGGAACCTCTGTTAGATGTGACCTGAATGCTCTGTCAGACTTAGCCAGGAACCTCTGTTAGATGTGACCTGAATGCTCTGTCAGACTTTAGCCTGTCAGACTTAGCCAGGAACCTCTGTTAGATGTGACCTGAATGCTCTGTCAGACTTAGCCAGGAACCTCTGTTAGATGTGAGATGTGACCTGGAATGATGTGACCTCTGTCAGACTTAGCCAGGAACCTCTGTTAGATGTGACCTGAATGTTCTGTCAGACTTAGCCAGGAACTCCTGAGATGTGACCTCTGTTAGATGTGACCCTGAATGCTCTGTCAGACTTAGCCAGGAACTCCTGTTAGATGTGACCTGAATGTTCTGTCAGACTTAGCCGGGAACCTCTGTTAGATGTGACCTGAATGCTCAGTCAGACTTAGCCAGGAACTCCTGTTAGATGTGACCTGAATGTTCAGTCAGACTTAGCCAGGAACTCCTGTTAGATGTGACCTGAATGTTCTGTCAGACTTAGCCGGGAACCTCTGTTAGATGTGACCTGAATGTTCTGTCAGCCTTTGATGGGAGCCTCTGTTAGATGTTCTTTGGGGCGGAAAATATGACACAAGATGCTGAGTAGTCAGTTCATCTTTTGATCTTCTCAACTTGAGACAATGGAAGAACCCCCAGGTGACCTGCTCAACAGCGAAGACAAGCACAAAGTGACACCAATCACCACTGGCGTTCAAGTTACGTTTATTAGGTGGAAAGATGGATGCTCGAAAGCAATAATTCTTGCCTCGGCAAAAGCATGCTGACTTCTGCTGCATGTCGTAACGTTTGTCACAAAGATATTTTAGTGAAAGGGGAATTGATGAGCTATTTTGGACACTTGAAACTCTACACACTTCTGTCGGACTTAGCTGGGAACTTCCGATTGATCTTGTTGAAGCCCCTATTAGATGCGCCATGAGATTATAGGCTTTTTGAAACTTAACAGAAAGGCTGTCAGACTGGTCCAGACAGTTGACATCGTATGACGGACATGGGGACCAAGATTGAAGGATGCTCCATGCTTGATACAGTTGGACATCTTTTCCAGTTGTAAGAACCAACTTTTAGGGGGCTAATATTGAAGGAATCTTTGTTGTTCAAAGACTGTGATGTTCTTTCAGTTATTTTTTTCTAAATATAAAATCTTTGAGTTATTATTATGAATTATGCAAATTTTCATTGTTTTTACTTTCAAATAAATGTGTAAATGTTTATGTGTACCCCACGTTTCGCTTTCTCTGTGCTGCATTCTCTTCTTTTATGATTTCTTCAATAGTTATTTTGTGACTAGCTGGTATACCACAGTCAGTCATTAGTTGACTGCTGTGGGTGATACGAGCCTTAATGGTATGTCTCAGTGGTACATCAGGGTGTGAGCCATGTCAAAGTGCAGCATGGTATTCAGTGGGTCTACCACCCTAAAACCAGAATAAGTGCAGATAGTACAAGCATGTCGCTATTTTAGTTGTATTACCATTGAATGCAACATTAAGGTCCATTTTGACACACCTCACATGATAACCACTGGCTGCTGTGCGGGAACATTGCAAACTGCTGGGGTCTTCAAAGGGAGATAACTTAGCTGTGTTAATATTTTCCTTTATTCACCCAGGTTCTGCAAGAATTATCTGTCTCTTAGACTAACAACTAGTCTCTTAAGTGAACATATTTTACAGAAAAAAAACAGTCCATAATAAGAAAAATAAAATATAATGAAAAAGAGCCCAGAGACTTTCTAAATTTTTAGAAACTGTGGCAATCTAGACTTTCCACATAATCTAGACTTGCATGGGCTTTCTTGGATATGTTTGTCAGGGTCTATGCGACACACTGTCTGTCTCTCAACAATCCCTTAGGGAGGGAAGACATATTGTTTCTGTTGGAGTTAGCGCTGTTGTCAAATTCCTTGCTGTGACTTCAAAATAGTAGCTTGGCAAGTGCATTGCTTCTCATCCAAACTGGTTTTATTTGCTTGCTTGAAATTTGATAACACTTTATTTTCTTGTTTTCATGGAAACAGTTATGTTCAAAAGTATGTTTTGTTTCCAGGCCATAACTTGAAAACTTTCAATATTTTTCAATGAAACTTGCTTTCAGAATAACTGGTGCCTTTTGATATATTTTTTAAAATTTCTAAGTCATATTGTGTCATTTGGAAACAATTTGGATGTCCCAAATAT